AGGACTTGACTTTCTTTCTCTTTCCTAGAACTTTTCAAAGAAGGTAGGGGAAGAAAACAGATGGAAACAGGGTACCACGACAGTGGCCTCTCAGCCAGAGGGAGACGCTGTTGACAAGATCACGTCAGGGTTTCTTGCCAAGAGAATTTTCTCCAGACAGATTTACTCACTTCATTCGTTTCACAATGAATAGTCACTGGACATCTGTCCTGAAGGTGCCACCATGGAACTGAACAGGATAATGGCAGCCCACTGGGTCAGGGTCATAGCAGAGTCCCTACACAACTTATGAGAGATTAGAACAAACAGGACTGATTTAAAAGGGGTCCCATACACCAACGGACAATCAAGGTGGGCTTTGGCACTTGACTATGATAATGGCCCTGAGGACAGAAAGCGCAGGTCAGACAGGAAAACAGCTGATGAAAATTCAAACAATGTGTTAGGAAATAAAGAGAGCATTCAGCTAGCGGGAGTTTAGGGAGGTGGGGTCAGCCTCTAGAGATAATTCCAGAAAGTTTATCTGGGGCCAAATCAGGAAGAGTTTGGTGCATCAGGCTAAGCAGTAGTCTTGCCCCTTTGCACAAAGGGGAGCCATTGAAAGACCGGCAGGTGGGAAGGCGAACACAAGCAGAGCAGTGGTGGTCTGTGACTAAAACCAAAATAAAACCTACTACCTTCCAGTCGATTCCAACTTACAGCAACCCTATAGGAAAGGACAGAACTGCCTCCTAGGATTTCCAAGGCTGTCAGTCTTTATGGAAGCAGACTGCCTCATCTTTCTCCCCCAGGGCAGCTGGTGGGTTTGAACTGTCAACATTTTGGTTAGCAGCTGAGTGCTTTAACCACCTCTCCACGAGAGCTCCAGGTCTATGATTGGAGCAGGGAAATTCCAGTGGCGCCATGGGCAGTTTGGACAGAGGCTGCAGCAGTTAAGTAAAAGCTATACATGAGAAGGGCTTGAACCAAGGCAGCATGCCTGGGAAGTAGGAAAAAAGATGGTGGGGACATTCAGTATTGCAAATGGCTGACCTCTGTGGACACGTGGATGCCCAGGGTCAGAAAAGTGTCGGAAGAATTGAGGAAAACCTAAGTATCTAGCTCAGGAAACTGATCAAGGGTGATGAAACTACAAAGGGAAAAGAATGATGAGAGCATGTGTGGAGCAAGAGCCACGAAGGTGTTCAGTTTGGAATCTGCTGGGGAAGGGGATGCTGCTAAGAATTTCTAATGAGGAGGATTCAAAACGGAAAAGTACGTCGTTCATTCATTCAGCAAACACCTCGGGAGTACTACCTACCATGTGCTAGGCAGGCATCGCACTAGGACCCGGGGATAAGCTACTGGTACCCTGGAGAATGCTTGTGCTATTAACACCTACAGCTAAGATGCACTGAGGGTCAATTTCGGTGCTAAATGCTTGACTGTGCGCATTTAACCCTCCACTATACTAGGTAGTTACTGTTATTACTCCCATTTTGCAGAAAGGGAACAGGGAGAGCAAGGCCAAGCAAGCTGTCCAGAAAGACAGCAGCAGAGCCAGATTACAAACCCAGGCAGCCCAGCACCAAAGCCCACTTTCTCAATCTCGATACAAGATGGAGGTTACAGAGACGGGAGTTGACAAGATGGAAAGAAAGGCTGAGTAAGGTTTTGTCACCTTAGGAAAGTTACAAGTCTCTCTCACAGTTATTACAAGGGATTTCATGTCAAAACAATTTAGATACTTAAAATCAAATCCGGCTTTCCTCTTCTTCACAAGCAGCTTTGGTTGAGTTCTGGGGACGTTAGGCAGAAAGCCCAGGCCCTCAGTGTTCCAGAGTGTGTGCTTGCCCATCAGTTCCTATACCCAACCCTTTGGGCAGAGTCCTCCACCTATCACTCCCCTCTATAGCTCCATGCTAATTCTTAGCAATAATGGTTTCCATCACATCTTTTGCCAACTAATGCAGTTTGCACTAAAAAAAAAAAAAAAAATCTGTAACTTCAAGGACATTATTAACTTCCCTACCACAAAACGTTTCAGTTTACTGAAATAAAGTCACCAGTAAGTATTTAATTCTTCTTTAAAGGGTGTCTTCCATTATTATTTTAAAGTGCAATTTAGTCATCAAAGGTTTACTCAGCCTCATGTTTATAGAGGGCAGGGATTTAACTCTTCTGGACCTACCTGTTCTGAAGGTCTCAGAGAGGGAGGGTCATAACCCTGTTGTCACACCGGGCACCTGCCTTGAAAGGAGATGCTGTGTGAGCTTGAAGGTCCTTCCCTCGTTTAGAAATGTCGAGTGACTACAGAGATTCCCATCGCTGCTGTGACCAGTAGAACCAGATCTTGAGTTGCCTGCCACCAAGAGCCACCGGCTTTTTGTTCTCCCCAAGGCTGTTGGGAAACTACACGTTCATCTTTTCAAATGAGTTTCAGAGTCTCGTCTTCATTATATGACATAATAGTAGCTTCCCAATTCACCTGCCTAATATTGTTTTGTTCATTGTGATGGCTGTGACTTTTTTGGGGGACAGGCAGATGGGAGGGTTACTGCCTCATTAAATAAAAACAAGGCAGAAAGAAACTGTTGCGTTGTGTTGACTACCTAGGTTGGAAATTTCAAGTCTTGAGTCAGATGTTTACATCTGGAGAGGGATGGCTGCTAATCTTGGGCTCATCCAAGTTCCTTGGGGGTTAGGGACTTTGGCCTTGATGGAAAAGCAGAAAACGTTTCCAAGAAACCCTCATGTCCTAGCATCCCACAGAGTTTACTTGCCGGCACAGTGAAAGGTGCTTTGGGGGTGAAGGGAGCAGGTGTCTTCTTTTTTGGCTCTCTCCTTTTTAAAGGATAGTATTTTCAAAGAGTTAAGGTCACTGGCCTGATCCTAGCGGGTGGGGCTGAGCCCCACGAGGCCGTGGAAGGGAGGGTCCCTGGTTTCCCAGCCAGAGCACGCCCCGCTGCCCCCCCTCCCCAGCTGCAGGCCCTATCCATCAAGGCGCCCAACTCTCTGGACCTAGAGGGAGTCTTGGCCTTGGCAGAGCGGGCCCAGTCGATCCATTCCGGAGGAGATGCATTCCAAGAATGCTTCTGTGGTCTGTGAGGAGTGGAAAACAGGGGTAACCAATATCCCCAGGAAACCTAATAGGTCGGGGCTAGGACCCTTTTCCCACTCCCCTTCCTCATTTCTTTCCTCCGCTGACTTTTCCGCCCCGGGTGGCAGCTTTTATTAGCGACCCGGCTCGGTGGAATGGGCGGAGCCTCGCTCGGCGCGCCGGAATCCAACCTAAACACCTCCAAGCCTCCAAGCCTACGTTTAGCAAGTGATACCCAACACCACGCTCACGTTAAAAAATGGGGGGGGGGGGGGAAGAGTACTGTTTGCAGAGAAGCTGAGGACAAAAACGTTTCCCCGCTGGAAAATTACCCATCCCGAACTGAGGACGGGGACAGGGACGGAGACGGCAGTGTCATGACACTGAATAACAACCGCCGTCTCCTTTTCCTGGTGCGCGATGACCGCAGCCGCAAGCTCGGGTGCACTGCTCGGGAATCCAGCTCCCACCGCATCGCGCCAATGCCCGGCCCGCGGCCCCCGGGGACTGACCTGCCCGAGCCTGCGCCGAAGGGGGCGCGCTGCCGTTTGACCTTTCGCTCACCATTGCGCCTCTATGACTCAGTTTGTTCATCCATAAAGTGGAGAGGAGAATGCTTGGCTTGTAAAGCGCTTTGAGATCCCTGGTTGAAAGGTACCTCCGCGCCCCACAGGCCCTCTCCCGCCCCCCATCCCCCACCCCACCCGCAAGTCAGTCTTGAGCCTTTTCACTCCCTTCCTGGCTCCTTTGAATATCAAAACAAGACGCGATCTCCGTTTCCCATTCCGGCCTTCTGAGAGTCCCCGTGCCTGCCACACAGTCCTCAACCAGCCTCTCCCCCTTCCCCTTTTCCCTGGCTCTGCTCGCTCGCGCTGGAGACCCGCAACGGCGCCCCCCGGCTGCAGCCCGGCGCCTGCGTGCGTGCGAGAGGGTGGGCCGGTGAGTCATGCGCACAATCGCGCCTCCTCGAGTGCGCACACGGCGTGGCGGGCTCTTGCGCGAGCTGAGGCAGGGGCGCGTCACCACCCTCCTGCCGACTCTGTGGGGTCTTCGAACCCAGAGAGCGGACCGTGGCGGCCCTGATCGTGAGGCGCCTGGGCCTGCACCCCACATCCCTGGCCCTGGGTCGAGCCTGCCGCCGCCGCCGCCGGCGGCGTCAGCGCGGCTCCTGCCCGCCAGCTGCCGGGC